AGATCAACACATGGCTTAGAAATAGATCTTTGCCTCAACTTGTATTTATAAATTTATTCCGTTTAAGTAATAATTGCATCCCTCTAGTAAATATCATTTAACTTATCAATGTTATTAATGAGTTAATAGAAAAAAAATTCTGATAAAGGATCAAGAGCTTTCTTGTTGTATTTGTTGGACTGTGTGCCATCCAATGTGGCTCCATGTTTCCTTGTTAAAAAAGAAATCCTGTCGTGCAACATTTTTCTCAATTGAAGGAAACATTTGACTTAAAAGTTGGAATCTTCTGGATTTCCCATTTTAAGGTATTGCTTTTACTACACAGATTAATGCTAAGCTGCACAGCTCAAATTATGTTGCACAGTTTCTCATGCATGTTCTGACATAACATTATACTGACTTAATAGCTTAACAGCTAGCACCAGAATCTGTGGTTAAGCTCTCAGTTGCTTTAAATCAATGTTAAAAACTGATTTGTTCAAAGTTTCCAATCTAACTTTCATTCCATTTCTTTAATAATTATTTTTTAAACAGTTTTATTTAACTTGTCCTTTTATGTTCTATACAAAGTATTAACCTTTGTTCCAAAGCACAGTCTGAATTCCTACATTATTGCTTCAAGCACAACAGTCACCCTAATAAGTGCATCATCCTAATGAGTATTTTATAAAGCAGTGCTCCGCAAAGCTGTATAAAATACACTGAAAAAAAAAATAAAGCAACTGTTTTTTGGCATTTACTAAATCATATATAGTTACTTTAACATAATTATTTCATGTTAGCAGGGTAGGATATAAAAAAAAAAACCTTGTTAAAGTAACTAAATATGATTAAGTAAATGCCAAAAGTGGTTGCATAATTGTTTTCAGTGACTCCCTGTAGCTGCATTGAGTTTAGATGGGTAACATACAATAATATGACCAAATGAGTAGCAAAACATCAACCTTTCAACTGTTCTAAATGTAGTATTATTAATTTTTACTTTTGTAAAAATGTATCTCTGATGCTTCATGACTGCTCCTTTATTTATTTGAACCCATCAGCTGTAACGTGGTATAAAGATGGCCGCCCTCTCACTGGTGCTGCTGGTGTCTCAATCCGGAAGCGTGGCCAGGTGCTGGAGATCCAACAAGCCCAGCTGTCCGATGTGGGGATGTACAGATGTGTGGCTGTTAACCTGGCTGGAGCTGCAGAGAAATTGTACAGTCTGCAAGTGTTCGGTCGGTGCTTCTTTGGCATTTTTATCCTCTCTCCTTATACATGGTCATATCCGAGCAGAATTACATTTTTCTTTTAATCACAGTCCCTCCAGAAATCTCCAGTAGAGGTGGTACAGTCACAGCTGTGGTGAATGAAGCTGTGAAGCTGGAGTGTGAGGCGTCCGGGGTTCCTGTGCCCAGTCTGACCTGGTTAAAAGACGGGAGCCCCGTGGCAAGTCTTTCACATGGCATACAGGTACCAATTAAAATGTTTGCTCTTACTTTCAGTCATTGAGTGAAGCA